ACCGGTCCGCAATGATGAGGACTGTACATACGATTTTCATCACGCAAAGTTGTCCCTCTTCTCTACAGTGTTTCGAACGAATTTTTTGTGTTCTAGAGTCCGCCCACTCGAGTGCACCCCAGGCGCAGAGTCTAGAATAACTTAAGTGTGTCGAAACCTAAGTGTGATCAAGTATGCTCGATCACCATTGGCACAGCAAGGCCGGCGGACGCGATCTTGTGCTGCTGCGCTCGCCCCCCCCCCCTACAAATTGCAATGGTACAAGCTATATACAGGGGGGGGGGGCAAAAAAAAGTCACTTTTCTTCATTGACTTTCGAGGCGCTATAAGTTACACTTTATCAAATTCTGATCGGACATTTTTACCACCATATTGAAGAGCATATTAAATACTATCATGACACTCCGCCACAGCCTTCTGGAGGAGCGCCATCGAGAGATTCTGCCACGCGACCGTGAGTGGTACCTGAGTTCAGCGAGATAGTTGATTTCTCCGCCACTGTAGACCACCCTGTTGAGCTCCGCCCGAACCGGGTAATTGAGGGATTCAGGTCAGGTGACCTACTTGGATATTCCATCTTCTTTAGGTACTCAGCCCCCTTCCATTCCAAGTAGGCGAGAGTTTCTCCAACGCCCTTCGATTCCATGTGGTGGCACCCAATGCTGTAGCAGTACAAAGTTTCCAAGAAGGTACGGGCGACGACATGTGAGGAGGATATTCCACGCCTTGGCGACTGTGGTGAAGATGATGTCCTGATAGCGACGTTGTCGGAGCTGCTCGATGTTGGAGGTCATCCAGATCGAGAGTACTGGTCTCCAGGTAGCTATCCATGGGTGACTCCATACTAGAAGTTTCGCAGCTGTTTGGAGGTGACATGAATTCCAAAGGTCTTCTCCAGTCAGGCTGCGACTGGAGATGACTTCATATTTTGGTGTACATGAAGGTGATGGGCGAGAGCCAGCTCCTGCTTATAGAGGAACATCTTGGGTATCTTCCGCCCTGGTACTCGTATCCACGTCCTCTGTCTGGGCAGCGAAAACTTTGCTGATATGTGACTCGGTCGAAGTGACTTTTTTTGCCCCCCCCCCTCCCCCCCTGTATACTGCAGTATAACACAGGAACGAACAAAACATATAATGTAGAGTAGCCATTGAGAATTAAGACAAATTGTGCAGCGGTAGAGCATCGTGACTATTGGTGCATCCTTGTCCACGAGTCTAGGCGAGTGTGGTAGAAAGGCGGTGACCTGTACATAACAGTATAATTATGCAGAGTAAAAGGAGAACATGGTACCAAGCAGGGGACAACAATTTGACTCTAGACCTCGTAAGTCATATACATCCGCGGAGAAAAAACTTGGAGCGTGCTTCGGAATCACTCCATCGTCTTTTTTTGAATTTAGTCTCCTCCAAACTAACTTTATCAGGAGCAGCATTCAAGAATATAACATAGCAGCTAATATTATTCCCTTTGTGAAGCGGAACGTGTAGGCAAATGCGCCACCCATCCGCTCCCTCCCGACCCAACCAAACTTCCTATTTCTCCAGAGATAATTGACATAGGGTAAATCACACTCAGAACAGCCTGCAATCCTAAATGGAACTAAAATGCGTGCAGCATCGTGAAAATTCATTCGTCGGTAGCGGAAGCTTTATTCTCCCAGCTTTTTTGATTTAGCGAACCTTCACACTGTTCTGCCGACGCTCAGAGTACTAGGTATTATTCGAAGTACGCAGAAACATCATATTCTGGTCCCACTTGGCCCATCGAACGAGTAACTAAAACTGCATGGATGCCTCTTCTTGTGCTTTTTTTGAGGACCTCTCCAATTCCTACCTGTCGCAGTACTCGTCAAAAATCTGCCTCGACAACGGGTTCAATTAATCAGGTCATATAGTCCGGTGTAGCTTCTTGAGGCATGCATAAACTGGGCTAACGAAAGTTTATATGCAACTGAAAAAATCTGACAAAACTGTTGAAAAGACTACGACTTGAACTTATTCCAAAATCTTTTCCGCTGCTGCATTGGGGTAGTGCAACATAGAAGTTGGAGCATTCCATCGTCTCTTTCTTCTGATATCTTCGCAGCTAACCCTCGATGCAAAATATGGAGCTATCCCGTTTGAAAATCGTCTGTACGTCGGTAGATAGTGGAGGGGCAGACTTCTAAAACAAGGATTTTTAGCTTTGATAAGTACCAAGAACTGATGCTAACCTTTCTCAGTAATCACTTGTTGGCGAAAAAATGAATTGATGGGGAAACTTAGCGTCTACTAGCGCGATGAACTCGCTCCGAAGCGCTGTTCGTTTCGTTGTAATTTGAACGACACTTCCATCCCTTCTTCTTTTGATCTTTTACGATTTTCAATTTGCAGTCAACATATGTCTGCACCTTTTGCCTCGAGTTCTCTTTGCGGGGTCGGCGCCGTTTCGCTGGTCAGCAGCCCCGTAAAACAAGTAAAATTACGCGACGACAGTCTTCCATAGCATTGGCTGTATTTGTGTTCAACGCCAATTCAACCATCCTATCAACATCGTCTTTAGATGCTTTTGTCTTGCGCATTACTGCGAGAGCCTTATTCTTGGTGAAATCCACGAGAAGCTTCTGCACTTCCGTTTCTCCGCCTTCCAGGTGACCGTGGAAGAATGAGCTGGTTTTGGTTGATAACATGGGAGGAGAAAAGGTTACGCAGTCTTCCATAATGCGTTTTTTCGATACAGGTGGTGTTGAACTCAACGAAACGCTCCTTCATGGGAGAGTAAGCTGTTCTCGGTGGTAGCGGCTTGTTTGCCGGAGTACCTGTGGTTTGCGTCAGTTCCTTCCTTTCTGCTTTTCTGACAGTTTCTATCGTGCAAGTCGTAATTTGAAAGGGAGGAAGGGCACTAAGCTACTGCGAATATGCCGGAATGGCTCTTATCAGGTCATGCGGTGCACAGACAATCGTGACCTGACATTTGAACTTTTTCTCGATATTTAAAAATAAACAGATATATAAATATGAAACCGCTAAACGCTCTAAGAGCAATGGACTCAAGTAGTTCGCGGGCTGTGTGGGATGCCCCTAGTGGATAGCGTGGTAGTGTACCTTACTGCTTCCCGTGAAAGAGTGAAAACCGCCTATTCTGAAGCACGTCTGGAAATGACGGAGAAGCTTCGAAAAGCAGTATGCAAAAGGATCTTTCTGGGCATGGAGACAGAGCCATTCACTCATTTCTTTGCGTTGCTAGGTGATGTCCAGCAAGGTCTCAAATCCATGACGCCTTACTGGTCCACTTTGTGCAGCAGGGCGGCGGTTCTCTTTCGCAATGGAAAAAACCAGCGTTCAGCAAGTCGTTTCCAACTTCTTGAGTAGCTTGTCCACATTCACTTTCCGAGTCACCTCAAATTAGACAGTCATCTGAGTAAATTGCGATGTCCATGCCTTGGGATCTCCCGGGGCATGGGCATCGCAATTTTTTTCCTTCTTTTTCCAAACAAGGGCCTAAGCAACTTGATGGCATGAAAGCAGCCGGAGGAAGTCTGAAGGGGAGAATCTTGAAGACGTACTTGTGGGTCTGTCAACGAAGTCCTAGATACTTCCTGAAATATTTGTGAACAAGTATAGATTATGACATTGCAACGAGTCGGGAACGATGAGCACAGCGCTGCAGCTGGTGCCCTGCGCTACCAATGGCAATCGAGCAGTGTTCAATTCAGGATGGAAACAACCAGTGGTTGAAGGGCCGCAGGTGACGACTGTTGATTGCGACCCGACTGGTCGCGATTAAATCAACTGTACCTTACAGCAATCTGACCTTAACTCAAAAATAATGAAGCCAAGACGAAGAAACAGGGTTCTGAACTTGAGGACATCTTCAAGCTTTATGTGAAATTTCTCTAGGCAAGTATTCAAGTCTTACAGGTCTAGAATCTGCCAAACTCACCAAATTTGCGTTTCTGAAAAGGGGTTATTCGAACGATGTCACCATAATGGCATGAAGATATAGCTTTAGAACGAAGAAGATCTTGATTTGATCTTAAACAAATTCTTTGCGGAGTTTTGTGGATCTGCGATTGCTTTTAACATAGTTTAAGATGGTGAAGATCGAAATGATGGACCGTATCCCTTTTTTGGAATAGGCCTTATCGTAGTGAAACTTTCGAGGTATTTCGAGAATTCTTTCTGGAATGGATGCCACGCGCGACAAAATCAGTTTGTCTCCTTGCCGAAAGCTTGTCTTCTTGCTGGCGAAGTGACCGAAGCGGCACAATAGAAGCACATTTTTTTGAACTTGGAAGTCTAGGGCCTGCTCTGCTTTCCGCTTTCGAACTCGTTCTCGGTCCTTCTCCCAGAGATCAGAAGTGGGAAGACTGTGTAGTGAAGAAATGCGGGTGCTCATACCGACCTCGGGCTCTGAAAACAGTTTTTGCTCCTGTCAGATGGCTTAGAACGGGGAGCCTTCCTCACATTCGTTTTCTGTGGCTTCGAGACTTCCTTTTCTTTCATTTTGGGGAAAGCCGGCTTAACTTGATCGATTGTGGGCCGAATAACGTTGAGCAATTCATTATTGTATTCGAACTGTCGAGCGAGTGAGGTCCTTATGAATTAATCATTGGGAGTCATATTTCGTGTTTGAGAAACTCAGGCGAAACCGCAGCAATGTATCCATTCTCCCTTCAAGGTTGATGGGCCTTCGTAGGGTGACGAGGATAAGTTGCAGATTTCAAACCCCTTCATCCGCCACTGTCTTAGTCGAATAATGAACCGTCACAAAGCTGCAAGGAATATGCCGAAATGGCATATATCAGCTCACGCGTTACCGGGACAAGCGTGCCCTGACACACCCATAGTGTGCTATGGGATATACTCGTTCGCCTCGCAAAACAATGCTTTTGTGTGTTTCGACGTGCCATGTGGAATTGGTCCTGGGGCATTTTAAGTAACAACATTGCTTTCAAGAAGCTGATTTCTTCACTATAAGCACTGTCTGTAATTCCTTTTTTATCTACTATGGGTTTATTGAGTAATCTTCAGGTTTTCATCCTCAATAGCTTTCTTGGAACTGATAACTTATTCTATGGCTTCCATATTTTGAAAGATCTCCTCAACGGCCGAGAGTGGGAAATCAGTGGTAACTTTCCTCGCGTGACGATGTGCGATTTCGAAGTAAGCGGAACTCTTCCCTCTATGCTCAATGTGGCTAATTATCAAAAGCACTAAATTCAGGTTCGCGTACTAGGTAATGTGCATCATCATACCGTCCAATGTGTTCTTATGATCAACATGTTCAATGAGAAGATTTTCTTGTTTTTATGGTATACTGAGTTTCGGATATCAGTTTGGCTACCTATTTACATTTTCCAAATGTGTTTTCAGGTTCTGGTATTTCATGGTTTCACTTGTATCTGTGACATCGATGCTACACTGGATTCTCATCTCGTTTCTGCCTGGCCAGGCAAGTCATGAATGCCTGTTCAATGGTACAATGACCTTCATATCTTCGAATAGTCGAAAATTCTCGACCTTGCCATTTCGCGTTCAGTTTAGTTCCAGCTGTCCTAGGGTAGTCGAAATCTCAGTCGTAAGGAAGAAATCAACAAGATCATTAAACTCTCGATGTCTGTGAATTTTCTACAGACCGTAAACAACAAAACAAAATATTTGATATTTTGCTTGTTAGCTTACTTTCACCATGGTTCAGTCATCGAAGAAAAACCCAGAAAGAATTTTCATAACATTGAAGTCAGCTTCAGAAGCAGAATATTTAACGAGATACACTTCAACAGAATTTTTAATTCACGTACTGTCAAAGAAATATTGCTTAATGGGAATGATTGTAACTTCACACCTATCAGAATAATTTATAAGTATAATAACACAATGGCGACCAGAATATGCAATTATAACAAATTGTTAAAGAATCTCGACAACGAAAAATTGAAGCGGATAATCACTAGTGACTGTATCTGTGATTCTGAAGATGTGCAGAAATATATTGACAGCAAGCATGGGCACATTATTACAGGCAATATGAATCTAATAAAAGAAAGAAAGTTCAGGAAACTTATGATGAAAGGAACGAAATATAGGATAGACACAGGAATAACAAGGAAAGAAGTCAAAACGATTTATGAGGCTACACTTAATAAAGTTGTCAATTATTTTAAGTACAAATATAAACTTAACAGTCACAAAGTTAACCTACTTCAACAGCATCTACGAGAATTATAATGCTAAAAAAATTCTACTTAGTCAACTTGATGAAGGAAATGGGAATAAGCTATGACGCTGCTAATGGCACATTCGCATATGGAGACAGTAACAACACGTATGAATTTGTGAGGTCGGGTAACAAATATCCGATGATACTGAAGCACAAGTTCTTCTGTGTAAGGAACAATCTCAATATAGAAGTTGATTCAGATCTACCAACTATATATGCTCTGCCTAAACTGCATAAGGATCCGATCAAGTTCAGATATATTACTGGCGCACATAGCAGTAGCATCAATCCCCTAGCAAGAACTACATGTATATTCGAACATCAAAAACCTATTCATAAACTATACAGAAGTGATGCAAACCGAACAGAACGATTAAGACCTACTGGTCGATAGACAACATCAATATAAGTCAGGAGCTGAATAATATTGCCTACGGCAATGTTAAAATATATACTGCCGATTTTACACTGACATGATTAAAAATCTTGAACATAGCCTCATTATCAGGAATATGCTTATGAGCATCTGCTTCAAAAATGCCAATAAGGCGTTCATTGCTAGTAATGGTTACCATGTTTTTTACTCAGACGGTAGAGCAAATAAAAGCAACTACAGATACTACAAAGCTACCGACTTAATATATCTTATCGATTACTTATTGCGCAACAGTTTTTGTATTTTTGCTGGTAACATATTCAATCAGACTAAAGGTGTTCCGCAAGGAGGCAACTTCAGCCCGCTGTTGGCAGACCTTACGCTGTCAATCATGGAATACAATTATGCAAAGTGCAATAGATTCAATGCTAGTAAATTGCTCATTCCATACAGATATATGGATGATCTCCTAGTCATACATAACCAGTCTGAAAATGAAGTCGATGAACAACTCGCGGAGGTCTATAGAAATACCCTCCAGTTGAAGAAGACACACACAACTGAGCTATACAGTAATTTATTTGGACTTAACCATCAATATAGTAAACGGCCAAATTACTACTGGTTTTATATATCTAATAAAATCAGATGACTATTACACTTAAAGCTGATTAGATTCCACACAGTGATTCAGTATCTTCATTAGAACAGGCTTCCGTTATATATCGCTTCACTTAGGAATGAGTTTGAATATAAGGAATCAGCTTTAAAGGCACTTTCCGCGATAAAATAAGGCTATGACCTTTCAAATGTGTCAGACGATCCGGAAGGAGATTGCGGAGGCTGCGCTACCTTTAGAAAGTGAAAATCGGCAAGAATTCCGCTTTAAGCTAACCAATTAGGCCCAAGGGCGCCCCTTAGGCCCATGCCGACCCCCACCGGCTGCTAGCTACTAGCTAGTAGCCACTATGCTATCTCTCTCCATTCCGAATGGTGAGAGTGAGGTGATACGATAAAAGAGCTGATATCTTTATGATAACGACGAGTGGAAATTCGTACAAACATGCGTTTTCTTCATTGCATGCATGTACAAGTTGGGGTCGATATGGAATCCTATTTAGGGCATTTTCGGCTGTTTTTCTGCTGCTTTTCTCCGCTAATCAGATACCTAGCCCTTTTTCGTTCCTATGTGGGTTCCGTTACCCACAATCTGTGGTCGCGGGCTTTGCCTTTAAGTGGTGTTCTGCAATAATTTTGCACTGCCACAATTTTCAACTGGACAAACTACCTCATGGAAGAATGCGCTAACGGTCGAAGTTTCAGCATATGAAGTTTATCCGGAAGTACTTGAGAGCCACAGATCTCGCAACGGATCGGCAGTCAGTGAAGAAATTCGTTCACAAATTTCTTGGATTCGATGGGGTCAGTTTTCTACTCTTTGTTATTGATTTTTGTTCGGTATGTGCTCTATCACCAAGAAACGATGTCTCTGAAACCAATCATTTCTTCTTATCAAGGTGTTCTGCATGCGAATGATATCAGCACATGCCGGTGATATTATGGCCACTGAGTTGATTGTTGCACTCTGGCATAACTTCAACGATAGAGTTCGAAAGGTGCGCTCCTAATATATCGTGTAAGGATTTAGGATCATTTCATATGAGAATACGAGGATTCTCATACTGCACGTGATTTAGCTGCTTAGCTTATATATACAACTTCATATAAATATCTCTTTTCTAAGATCCAATTCAACTCTACGGAATCGCTCAACCACTAGTAAATCGCACACGTATGTTGGGTTGAGTTGGTAGCTTGTGGTACCTCTTTCCCTACTGTCAAAACAAAGCGAGGGCGTGATCCTCCATTCAATGTATTTTGCTTGTTCGCAAGTACAGCTCGAGAGGTCACCATTTCCATTTTCGTGAAAGGACCACGTGCTGAAAATATAACTGTTCGTTACATCCCTGATGACAGCTCTTATAAATCATTAATGGTGATGGTTGATCACATTCTTGCTAGTGTAAGTACCATCACTGGATTGCGAATCGCTTCCCCATGAATGCCCGCTTTGTGATGAGATTTTTCGTTGTGCCGTTGAAAGGTCCTCGAACACGTTTCTGTTTATGATTATTGAGCCACTTTTGTGATCCTTTCAACGGCGTCGCTGTACAATTCATCTTAGTCGTAGCTTTCAGAGTCCTATCGAGATGTTTGAGGGGGGCGTGAGTCAGTCGCCAAGTAAGCTTGATGCCAACTTCAAGACATGGTTGCTTGGGCAGACGAGGTGAGTCGAAAAAATCTTTTCCTTTCGGCGAGCTTCGATGTAATGAAGATTTATTGCCATGGCCCTCTGCGCGAGTGCAAATGCGGTACATATTTGCCTGGTTCAACTAACACAAATAATATTCGTTCAAGAATCCCGCGAAAAGGGCGATGTCAATGCCGGAACTCGAATACACAACGAACGCTCAGCGGCAAGGTGCTTCCTTGGCATGCCCGGGGCTACCGGGCCCACTGATGTTTAAGCGTAGCGGTTTTCTGTCCGAACATGCGCAGGGATGGGGATCCAAGACCGCGGGATGGGCTAATTCCTCCATAGTCCGCCTAAAATGCAAATTGCAACGCGAGCACCCTGCACCCGCTACCCATCGCCAAGTCTTGCAGATTGCGCTTTCAAATACGATTCAAACGCAAATGCGGGTGACAAATAAGGCGTTACTCATGCTGCAAACTCTGAATCCGATGATGAGGGCAAGAATATGAGAGCAACTATACTACTTTTCCTCCAATTTCCCTCGAAAGCTACGCATCCCACCAAATTTGAAGCTGAAAGAGACCTAAGAGTCCTACTCGTGGTTCGAAGCTTTTGGAGCCTTGCCTTCGAAATCGGATTCGCGCCGAATTGCAGAAATTTAATCATGGAGTCCTAATTGACATACATTTATTTGCATTTTTATTTGCATTTCGTTTACATAGAATACCTTCAATTCTAGCCTTCGTCATCACTTGATTTAGGCTTTGCAGCATAAACAACGCCTCAGTTGTCATCCGCCAGAAGTTTGCTTTCTTGCGAAAGCGAAAAACGTTACGCGAAAGAGCAAACTACAAAACTTGGCAAAGTACCAGGAACTCCGCCGCGCTACACACGCCGTGCGGACGACCGCTCAGTACAGATGGGATTGGGATATTGTTGTAGATGTTGTTGTTGTTGCAGAAGAACACCAGTAGGAGAAGATTCATGGGAGATCTGAACGGGATAGAACTGACGACATAAAAACACAAGGATAGTCATGTTACACTGCAACGTACATTGCGCGTTATAGTCTCTATACATGAGATATCAATAACTCCAATCCTATGTTACGGAACCCTGCAACACCTCTTTTGAGTTAACAAGTATGGGGACCTTCGAGGGTCCAGTGTTAGTAGGCCTTGAGGTCGTCGGACACGTTGCGATCGTCGAGGCGACTTGGCAGGCGTGTCGGTGCGGGACCATTGTTCTTGCTCATGAAGTCGAATAGCGGTGGATCAAACACTTCCATGAAGGTGTTTGTCGTTGTTACGTCGGTCCTCGATGGCAACTGGTCCACATGTCGATGCGATATGTTGTTTCCACAGCGCACCTTGTAGGTAGTGTATCCAACTCGGCGAGCGATGGTACCAGGATGGCTTCATCCTCGATAATCCTTGACGCAAACGGCTTCGTTGACTTCGAATCTGTGGCGTCGTGCTCCAGTATGTTCGACGAGTGAACTGAGATTTCATCTTGAGGTGTCGTGCTCCCATGGTGATGTCTTGCGCTGGCTTTACGTAGAGGTCGGTTGAAGTCTTCGGCATAGCTCTACAGTGCGCAGCAAAAGTATGTGAGCACCCCAAATTCTGACTCCATAAGAACACTTCCGGCGAAATGGGACCTCTACTATTCAATTCCTCGGGCACGGAAAGCATAGTATACTTCACTTCGTAGCATCTTGTGGGCGGCTTCACATTTTTTGTTACTGGAAAAAGTTTCTTAGTACCAAGAGTATGTGGGCAGTTGAGGAAAAAATATCTTTGAGATGAAAGTCTGGTAGGTCCTATATGATTTTGTGCTATATTGGTCATTTTTTCTTGTGCCCCTGAACGAAGTTCGTCATGGTTGTCTCGAGTATGGCATCCCAGCAGCAAATGTTGCCGCCTCGAGGTGATGAAACGCATTTTACCGCCGCTTATTATTATAGATATGCTGCTGTGATCCTCTGTCGTTTTCAAAAGATAGCAGTCAGTAAAACTATCTGCCCAATCCACCACATCGATGCCCTTGGGCAGGATCTTTCTCTGTGCTGAAAACGAGAGATCTGCTGCCGTTCTGCTGCTGTGGAACGTGTTTCCTGCATTACCCATTTCTCAAAAAGAGCTGAATGTGAGAGTCAACCACGTATTTGTATTCCCGACCTTTGAATGCTTTATGTCGGAAAAAGAGACTCCATTCTTTGGCTCCTCCCGAAGTCGTAGCAAAGCACATGTACATCGGATCCACATCGGGAGCTACCTACGAAGGCCACTCCAAAGTCGAGAAATTCGTCCGGAGCGTCAATACTGAATTTTTTTCATTCGGGAAAATTATTTAACTCGAAAATGATTATCAGGTGTTGCCCGTTGACTTAACAGTTTTCCAGACTTCACCATATGTGATGTTGTGGTATTTTCACAGACAGGCTCTAACCTTGCTCTCTCGTCCTGAGCAGTTAATCTGGAAGCACTCTCACGTCAGTTTATGAAGCACACTCACTTGACCGGAGAGGACCCAAAACGGCAATTCTTGGATCCAGCGAACTTTTTGAAGCGTTTTTTCCGACCTACACACCGACAGTGTCTGAGACTACTCAGGCTATTCTTCCGTTGTTTTAGGCAAGTAGGGAGTCTTTCATCTCAGAGATATTTTTATTTTTTCTTACGTCCTCATAGTTTTGGTACAAAGAACCTTTTCCAGTAATAAAAAAAGATGCGAAGTCGCCCACAAGATGCTGCGAAGTTCATTACACTCAGGTTTCCGTACCCGAGGAATCGAATAGTGAAGATCTCGTTTCGCCAAAAGCGAAGGTGTTCTTGTAGAGTCAGGATTTGGGTGTTCAGTGTCCACTTGCATTTGTTACGCACTGTTTAAGGGGCTCAATGAGTCTTTCGAGAACCAGACTTGGCATCAGGCTTCAAAGCGAGTTGTGTTCTCAACTTCGTGCAACGTTCCAGTGCAGATGTGGAGACTGCTGCTGTCTTCCTCTTCCTTTGCGCAGTGAGAGAAAAGTTCAAGGTGCTGAGCGTCCTTGAAGATACGTTGCGGACCAATCTTTCCGTTGGGTTATGGAACAGTGGCTTATGTTGGGCAATCCAGTCTAGGTACAATAGGGATGGTGTGTCGGCTGCGTAGCAGTTACCTCGTTCTCGCTGACCTTTAATAACGAAGATGCAGTCGTAACGTCTTCGAGCGTTGATGAGTCGAAGCAATCACGACTATGCTGGCAGATCTTCTCTTCCACTGCAGATTCTGCTTCCTCGTTCTCCTGAAGTTCTTGCAGAATCCTCGCTTATGACCAGTCGCTTTGCAGTCGTGAAACATCTTCTTCACGAGAGGGCATCTCTCGACTAGTGATTTGCTCCGCTTCGAAAGCGAGGAGAGAGCGGTTGGCGGTCTTTGTCCTCCTGATTGTGAGAGTCGACGGCGTTGATGTGAGGTGGCGTGGCTCGCTCGAGCAGCGCGGCATCTCGGTCGAAGACTTGCTGGGTCTCAGCGGCAAGCTCCTTCAACGTTGTTCCCGAATTGTCTTCCTCCTTGCGGAGAGCACGCACTTGTATTTTTCTTATGTTCTTCGGGGCGACCAATCCGCATCCATACGAGCATTTCATCTGCTTAGGAGTGACCTCGTTGATTGACCAGTACTCGAAGGTTCTTTCCATTTCGTGAGTCAGGTACACGTAACATCTCGCGAAAACTGACTATTGTGGCCAAACAATTTCTTCAAGATTGCCACAGTGTCTTTAGAGCAACGTCGCATGCCTTTTTTGGGGGGGATGGAATTGGTGAACCGTGCGGATGTGATGGCGTCGAGTATGGAGACGACTAGACAACCCTTGATTGCGACGTCTGATGTGGCTCTGTCCTTTGCAATTATGTCTTGATATCGATTGTACCAGACCTCAAAGGCTCAGCCGTTGTCAGGACCGTAGAAGAATTCAGGCCAGTGCGATGACAGAGAGCTCGTGACGAATTCTGTTATGGAGCCAAGAGTCGACGAAACAGCCGGTCGTGATGTGGACGTGACAGCCGGTCGTGACCATTCCTTCCCTGCGATTTACAAGTCCGCTGAACATCAGCTGTTGCTCAGTAAACATATGCTACTGCATCCTGGTTTGAGAATGGTGCCAAGGCCTTCGGCATCCATTTTGACCGTCGTTGTTAACGGTACCCATGTCTGTTAACGCAGAACACGACAGTTCACAATAATCGCCTAATACAGTTATCAAACGTCATCCGATCTACAGATCAGGTCTGGTCCATAATGTTAATCACGCATACAGCAATCAACCGGCTCACAGCGGGGGCTGAGTGTTCTTGACACAGCAGCCCGACCGGACAGGAAGCCGGGGCGGTTTTCAAGACTCGAACAATAGTTGGACTGGGTGTTCAGCTGGGGCTGTAGTCCTCGGAGCAAGAGCGGGCTGCCGTTTGCCGCTCGGGGCAGTTGCAGTATAAGAGTGGGGGTATGGACTGCTCTGGAAGCTTCTGCCTTGTTTTTGTTCAAATCCGCCCACAAGGCATCAGTCCCACACTTCTCAACTGCTCAACTGCTGATCCATCGGTGACCACAACCTACTTTCTCTACAGACTGCTTTGGAAGCTTTTCGCAGATTTTTCATTTTCTCCGCCTACCTCGGCACAGGCTCCGCCCACAAGGCATATGCCCCACGTTTCTTAATAGGTGATCCCTCTATAACCCATCTTTTCCCCTGTCTGGACTGCTCTGGAACCTTTTGGCAGATTTTTCATTTGACTCCGCCTACCTCTGCGTGGTGTAGTGACAAGTGGCGCGCTCACCACTCGCGCGGTCCTGGGTTCGAATCCCAGGTCGACACCCGCCCAGGCCAACCAAGCCTTCTACCCTCCGGGGACGGTAAATTGGTACCAGATTCGTCTGGGAGGATAAAACACTGACTTGTACATCGGCTGGCCACCGCAAGTCATTGTATAGGCCACATCGCATTCAATAAGCCACTACGATTCTGAATGGAAGTAGAATGCGTGCCGCATCCC